CATATTTTGGGCCGTAAAATCAAGATCAGAACAAGCACGAAAACCACTATAAACTGCTACATTTCACGGCCTTTTCCTAAAAAAACAAAACAAAAGCTTTTTGGGAAAGTGAAAGCAACTCTTCTTTCCCCATAGCGGGTGACAGGCGGTGCTCGCTTCAATTACAGGTGCTCAGCCAATGCCCAGACAACGCTGAACAAATGGATAAACTTGATCACCTTGTTCAGGTTGTATGAACAGCCGCAGGGAGCCCCGGATCCTATATAGTAAAAGGCTAATATGCAAATCGACCGAACAGCAGAATGACTGGTTGCTATTATGCGCACTGACCACCAGGGGGCAGATGATCAACGCAGGAGCTGCCCCCTGGTGGTCAGTGTGCTCCCACAGGGGGAGCGCTGCTCAGCCAGAAGCTGGGCTCACGGCTGGCGAGCGCAGTGGCGGTGGTGGGAGCCTCTCCTGCCTCTGCGGCGGTGCTAAGGATGTCCGACTGCTGGTTTAGGCCCGCTTGCCATGGGGAGCCATGGGCCTAAGCCATCAGTCGGACACCCCCCAAGGGTTCCTGGACTGCGAGAGGCCGCAGGCTGGGCTGAGGGGCCCCCCCACCCCCCTGAATGTACAAATTTCATGCACCGGGCCTCTAGTTAAAGATAATTGAGAATAAAAGTATTCAAGTATTCAATAGTTTTTGAAAAAGTGGGATTTGTTTAAATCTATATTTACAAATTTAATTCTGATTGTTCAAATACTTCATTCTATTATTATTATTAGGTTGCTTCTTTTTTGAAACCATTTTTCTAGTATTTCTGTTAATCTGATTTTAAGTCTGGAACACTGACATCCCCAAGGAAAAGAGAAAACTTAGACACAATTTCCATAGCAACTCTAAATCCTTCACACTGTATTTGTATATGGGAATTTGATTTAAATACATTAATATATGTGAATTTGCAATGTGTCTAAGCTGTGGTTGCTATAGGAACCGCACCCTCAAATTTCCTTTTAAGTGTAGTAAGTGCTCACACATAAAAGCTGATCCCCCGACGGCTATCTCAAGTTGCAGATATGGCTCACAGCAATGCATTTACAAACATCATGACTCATGACGATACATGCACTTGGCAGATATCTATCACGATGAAAATGTGTATTTTAATACATGCTCCTGTGAGTAGACCAAAAGCGATTCAAGACGCAATTCCTCCACACGAAGAGCGAATAAGACTTGCCAGGCAGCTGTCCACTCCTACACGACAGCCTCCGCTCACGCCGAAGCCTGTACAGCCCAGGTCAGTCACCCGGCCACACGCAGACACCACGGGGCTCCATGGCTTCTCTGAACCCGCAGAACATCTCGTGTCTGTACTGAGATGGCGGAGAAATCTAGCTCGTGCTCACAACACAGAATGCACCACCTGGGTGGAGTGCAACCACTTTAGACACACGAAACACTCTGTATCAGCCGTCTGTACGACGTAAGAAACGTTTCTGGCCAATGCAGACAGTCCTTTCTGAATTACCAACATGCAGTCACCATTCCCAGGATCGCGTCCTGCGCTAGTACAGTCCCTCTGCCACAAGGTGCTCGGAGCCTCCGCTTACTGCTCCTAACGTGTCAGTGTCAGGACATGCGAGTCAATTCTAATCCAAGGAAACATTTGGGGAGAGATACACCCACTGCAGAATGAAGCAAGTATCCAAAAGCCCAGATGGAAAAAGTAGTTAAGAGGGTCGCATCCCCTGTGTTCGGTAATACCAACCACTGTTCCCACCTATTGCAGATAATCACAAAATGACCAAGCTGAGAGGTGGAACAGGGATCGCTGCTGGCTGCTCCCACCGGGCGTCATGTGCGGTAACAGGGACGGATGTGTGTTTCCCAGCAGCGGGCCCCCACCCTCAGCAAACACCTCCCTTTGTCTTCCCTTTGGGGTGGACACAATCCGACTTGTCTGTGAGGAAAACGGCCTTGAATGATTTCAGTCCAGAGGCAGGGAGGCCAGTTAGAGAGTAGAGTAGTTCGGGGGGAGAATCTTCGGACGTGGAAGGGACTCAGCGCCTGCTGATGTCACACAGACCCGGGCGCTCCCGCGGTGCCTGGCCCTGTGCGGTTCTGCAGTAACGATCGCAGCTTCGGGCTGGCGAGCAAGGTCTCGGCAAGGGTTCCTGGCTCTTCTTCGACTATTGCTGGTCCTTCTATTGACATCCGTGTGCTCCCTGCCCCAGAAGCTCAGTGCCGGGAAGCCACGTCCTGCGCCCGTTATAATTACGTCTAAATCAAGGAAGAGCAGACAGACTCTGGGTAAACTCTCGTGCGTGAAGAGTAACGTCCACGGATTTGCAGCAGTTTACAGCCCTATTCTGACTCTCCGAGACACTGCGGCCTACATTTCTGTGACCGTCTCCCAAGAGCTGGCCATCAGCTTCAGAAAGGAGCTCCTTCTGCCTCCTGCGGCTCCAGCAGCTTTAACGACGTCCGGCACGTGGTTCGCACCTCGCTGTCATCGTTCTCCTGCCCACAATGTCCGAGTCACAACGCGTTTTATCAAGAAGGGTCTGACGCATTTGGCTTCGGAAAACACCCTTTCTCCCCGATGAAGACCAATGAGGTGACCATGGCCAAGGAATCGGGCCCCGCGTCTAGGAATGGCTGCCTCCTGGAATGAACTACCAACAGTGTTCCCTGTTGACGTCAGGAGTTCCTGAGCTTTACGCTCTGGAAGAAATATGTCTCCTCCAGGTTCACGGACATTCTTTCTCTCCAAGGGCACACGTTTCTCCGTGGCTTTTGTGAGAGACGGAGGAGGGTGAAGGACAGCTCGGCCTGAGGGAGGGGAAGGGGGAGGAGGAGGTGGGGGGGGCCAGTTTAAGGACCATCCTGGCTGCGGAAGACAACGCTCAGGCCTGTCCGTCTCACGCCTCAAACCGTGGAAAAGCGGCGCCGAGTGTCAAGGTGAGCTGTGCATCTGGATGGACATCTGCACATCAGCAGCGACAGAGGCTCCGTGAGAATCAGCGGCCCCTCTGGCTCCCCCTCACCCCTCCGGCTCCGCCTGCCGGCCCCTCACCCCGGAGAACACGCCCCCTCTTTGCCAGCCCTCGACTGATCAAGTTCCTGCAGAAGCTGAAGGCCAATCTGAACAGCCACACATTTTCCCTCCCCAACCTTCCCCAGCGCTGGTTTCACAAAACTAGAGTCCCTTCCTCTCTCACCTCTCCCCACGCCCTGGACCTCACTTCCCAGCGCCAGGGCCATGCCCCACTTCCCTCCTTCCCCTCCCTCTTCTCCCTGGACCCCTCTCCCAACTGACACACCCGCCTGCCTTGTCCCGAAAGCAAACAAAACAGAGGGAGGACATGACCGTTCTCCCAACCTCACTTCTGAAGCTCCCGTCATGAACACAACGCTTCTACTTCCCTCGGTTTTCCCCCCCAGCGTCAGGGCCATGCCCCACTTCCCTCCTTTCCCTCCCTCTTCTCCCTGGACCCCTCTCCCAGCTGACAAACCCGCCTTGTCCCGAAAGCAAACAAAACAGAGGGAGGACATGACCGTTCTCCCAACCTCACTTCTGAAGCTCCCGTCAGCTTCCCCCGACATGAACACAACGCTTCTATTTCCCTCGGTTTTCCCCGGCAGACGTGGCGAGGTGGAAGGAATGCTCTCACGGCATCGCTGTCACACGCCATGCCCTCTGGGGCCGCTGGACCTAGGGGCCGCCCTCAGCACTAAGAGGGTTCTCCAAGGATGACTCGTCGCTCCCAGCAGGCGGATTTCTTGGCCTGTTTCAGGCCTCATGCTGTCCATCTCCACAGCACTCTCGGCTTCTGGTGATGCTCGCTCTAAAACGTCCCGCTGCCCGTTCTGTTCCCTGGTTCCCTGATTCACCTTGTCCTCAGCTTCCCCGTCTCTTAAATGTATGTTCCCACAGATCTGGGCTGAGTTTATTTTATGTAAGTTCATACTCCCTATGGCTCCAAGTTGGGTGTTTACGCATCTCAATCTCCTTCCACTAATTCCTCAGCCCACCCCCGTCCCATCATCCCGAGGAACCAGCGGCCCTCCTGTCCCCATTTTACTCGACTCCTCAGGGGATGTAGACACTGGTGACCACCCTGCTCCCTGCCTTCTCCTTCCCCGACACGCCGTGCCCATCCTCCCTCCATCCGGCATCCTCCCTGCTCCGGGGCCAGCGCGCCCTTTTCTGCCCAAACACTGACGTTAGTTCCTCGTGGCACTGCCCTTCTCGCTCCGCCTCTCTCCAGCTCCGGGGCACGGACACGGAGACCCACGCAGAGGAGGCCAACGGCGGGGAGCATCGACGGACAGAGGCACCAGGAGGCCAACGGCGGGGAGCATCGACGGACAGAGGCACCAGGAGGCCAACGGCGGGGAGCATCGACGGACAGAGGCACCAGGAGGCCAACGGCGGGGAGCATCGACGGACAGAGGCACCAGGAGGCCAACGGCGGGGAGCATCGACGGACAGAGGCACCAGGAGGCCAACGGCGGGGAGCATCGACGGACAGAGGCACCAGGAGGCCAACGGCGGGGAGCATCGACGGACAGAGGCACCAGGAGGCCAACGGCGGGGAGCATCGACGGACAGAGGCACCAGGAGGCCAACGGCGGGGAGCATCGACGGACAGAGGCACCAGGAGGCCAACGGCGGGGAGCATCGACGGACAGAGGCACCAGGAGGCCAACGGCGGGGAGCATCGACGGACAGAGGCACCAGGAGGCCAACGGCGGGGAGCATCGACGGACAGAGGCACCAGGAGGCCAACGGCGGGGAGCATCGACGGACAGAGGCACCAGGAGGCCAACGGCGGGGAGCATCGACGGACAGAGGCACCAGGAGGCCAACGGCGGGGAGCATCGACGGACAGAGGCACCAGGAGGCCAACGGCGGGGAGCATCGACGGACAGAGGCACCAGGAGGCCAACGGCGGGGAGCATCGACGGGACAGGACGCAGTGCTGAGGCAACTGCTGCGGCTTACCTGCGGTGGGGGAGTTGGCGTGGTGCGACTTTTTTGGCAGGTTGAAGATCTGTTCGCCGGGGTCGGGGGGAGGAATTGCATCTTGCCCTTGTCGTGCTTCTACGGGGTCATATTCCTTGCCGTCGTAGTTCGCGTCATAGAACTTCTTGAACCACTGGATGAAGTCCAAGTTGTCCTGGAAGCGCCCTTTCACTAGCTTCTCCACCGGAATCACCTGCAACAGAAGATCCTGTGAGTCGCCAGCCCAGGGCTTGCTTGTGGCTGATACAACTGCAGCGGCCCCCCCATGTAACTTTTCCCACGTGTCTGCCCCTCACGACCACTGGCCTCTCCCCCAGCTTCCTAGCCAGCCCTAGTCTAGAATTCGTCATTTTTCACCATATTGAAAAAACAACAACACACCTACAATGTTGTAGTTGGGCCCGGCTGGCGTGGCTCAGGGATTCAGCATCGACCTATGAACCAGGAGGTCACAGTTCGATTCCTGGTCAGGGCACATGCCTGGGTTGCAGGCTCGATTCCCAGCGTGGGGTGTGCAGGAGGCAGCCAATCAATGATTCTCTCTCATCATTGATGTTTCTATCTCTCTCTCCCTCTCCCTTCTTCTCTGAAATCAATAAAAATATATTTAAAAAATATTGTAGTTGGTTTTCCTGGAATTATTTAACATTTCTGAACAACCTGACAAAACAAGGAATACCCTCAGCCAATAGGGGCTGATCCTCTTTATAGTGTGTTTATGCCAGAGCATCTCCCCCAAATCACGGGCCTGGGATGTTGTGCTGTTTCAAGTCTGATGGATTTTCCTTATTTCTTTGTAGCACGTGGTCCAGTTGTGTTGGAATAAACACTTACAAGGATTATAGCTGCTAGAGGGTGTGAGTACATAGACTCAAATCACTGTAAACACACACCAGCCTAATGGTCCAAGTGAGCCTGTGCAGGGCGAGAAGCACCAAAACAACTAATCACCCAATGCAGGGCCCAGTAATTCTTAGGGTGCACGGGAGCACAGCTAGCGTGCCGTGGGAGAGCAGAGAAAGGAATGGGGCTGGTTAGGGGAGTCCCGGAAGGCAGCCTGGAGGAGGTGCGAGCATTAACCTCAACTTCTGAGACGAACCTCAGCTCTTCCTTTCCTATCGGCGACCTATGGGGCCAGGCAGTGTTCCCTTTGGAGCTCTCGAAGGAGCCTGGGTTCTACGCCAGGAAGTGTGTGGCGTGACTGCTTCGCTTCCATGCAGTGGCAGCTACTTCTAAAGGGAATGGAAGGTGCGGAGTTGTCCAAACTGCACCATTACCAGAGTCTTACTTCTCACCTGTGGGTTGGAATACCAGCTGAGCGTGAGCCCTGAGGGCTATAGAGCTGGGGGGCGAGTCAGGTTGTGTGTACGAATGTGTGTGAGTGTGAATTCAGACAAACCCAGCGCTCAAAGAACGCAGTGCCACTGCCATGATACCAGCGGGAACTGTATAAACTACCTTTCCAGCAGGACTGTGCCACCTCAGGAGAGATGGACCATTGGTATCCTATGGACCATGAGGGCCACTTTAAAAAAGGAGGGAGACCTCAAAGACCCATGTCAGATTGAAAGAGAAAAAGGGACCGGAGCATTTTAGGGCATCCGTTAAACTCAATTCTTCACAAAACATAGTTTCAGAGATGATTTTTATGCAGCTAAAACTGAAAGTCAGTCAACTACAGAACAAAACATAGAGAAGCAAGCTTCCGCAGGAGCCACGTTCTTCATGAAGGCTCCTCCGGGGATGGAGACTCGATGCCGCATCTCTTCTCTCCCCAGACCTCAGGGGCGTCGGCCCCCGCAGCACTTAGCCGGCTCTTCAGTGTGCCATTTAAAGATTTTCGTGTCTCCTGATTTATAGGTTCTGTCTGTGCTGCTATTGATTGTTTAAGAAAGTGCCCTCTTCGTGCAGAAGCCCTTTAATGAACACGCTGTATATTCTGCTTTCTGCCGAACATGAACATCGATGAACAGACTTAGATGATGGTGCCCATTGGCCGTTACAGGACGCACTCACTTCCGCTGGCTTCACTCTGCATCCCCTGCAAAGTGCAGGCTCTGGGCAGACGTGCACAGGGGCCGCGTCTCCCCAAGGGCGGAATCATAGCCCGTGAAGCGGGCGAGGCCAGCAAAGGCCGTCGAGGCCAGCCTTCCTCCCCGACAAGCGCCTCATCTTCAACACCCTTGACAATGGCTCATCCGCTCTGTGTGCCTGTGCTTCTGGAGAGCTAGGGGCCCTGATTGGTTAGAGAGCACGCTCCATCAGTAAACCTAGAAAAGGGCGTTTCTTTCAGACTAGAAGCAGCTGCTGAAAAATGAGAGAAGACGTGGGGGACGCCGCTAATGAGGAAGGAGAACCTGCACAGCCCTGGCTCTGAAGGAGCGAACTGGAAAGGAACCACAGCAGAGGACATAAAAACGAAGCTGAAAAGCACTCGGAAGGTTAAGATGTTAAAGAGAATATGTTTTGAAATGAAAATTCTGAGAAAAGGAAAACTAAGATTTTAATAATCGTTTGATAAGAATGTTTTTATTCAGAAAGGTATTAATTGCATTAAATAGAAAATATCTTTGATTTGCCAAACCTTTCTCTTTTCCCTTATTTAACTTCTATTTCTTAATAATCCAGGACTTTAGTTTTTACTTCCATAGCCTATTTATTGCTATTATCTATGCAAAGAAAAGTTTTTCATTTCTCCCCGGCTGGCTTATTTATTTTCTCTTATTCAAAATTAATTTCTTTCCAAGCCTGTTCCCTCTAAGAGACATATCCTAAGGAAATAATATGGTTGCATTGCATATGTATGTGAATGGAGGAAACGTACAGACTGCATGGACTTTAGTAATCGTCTTTTGGGGGGGGGGCACCCAGTCTACCTCCATTTGTATCACTCTAGGACAAAATTATAAAATCCAAAGGGGAAAAAAGGACAATGTATGGACATGGATGGAGAATCTGCGTGTATATACCGTGCTGGACATTTTCACGCGTTCCCTCACTTGAGCTTCGTATAACCACAGGGAACGGGGTTTTTGTCCTATTTTATAGATGGGTAAATGGAAATTCAGAGAATCCACGCTAATAAAAGACAAAGATGCTAACTGACCTTACCTTCGCTACGCCCATCAGCCAATCAGAAGAGTATGCAAATTAACCCAACAAAGATGGCCGTTAAATTTGCATACTGCAGGCGGGGCGGCAC